TCTCTTCCTGTGTCAAAGTCCCAGTTCTCCTGGCTGCGTTCTTCATCTGGTTCTTCCCTGGCGTCTTCTGAGAGCTCTTCATCACGCTTATGTCTCCTCTGGTGGTACCTGCCGGGCCTCCAGTCCCTCTTGTCTCTCTCATCGTCAAGACCCCAATACTCCTGGCTGCGCTCTTCGTCTCCCTCGTCTTCTAAAGGCTCTTCGCCACGTTTGTGAAGTTTTTTCTTGTGGTGGTAGCGGTGTGTGGGTTTCCATATGCGCTTGTTTCTTTCCTCCTCCACCTCGTTCCCATGCCTTTTGTCTACATCCCAGGACTCTTGGCTACGTTCCTCCTCTGGCTCCTCCCTTTCGTCTCCTAAAGGCTCCTCATCTCGTTTGTATTTCTTTTGGTGGTATCTCCCAGGCTTCCATTTCCTCTTCTCCCTCCCTTCGTCTTCTTCATCTTCATCCTCAGATCTCTTTTCCTCAATGCCCCAACTCTCCTGACTGCGCTCGTTGTCTTCTTCCTCGTCCCGTTTGTGTTTCCTTTGGTGGTATCTCCCAGGCCTCCAGCTGCTCCTCTTCTCCCGCTCTGCTTCTTCTTCTGTGTCATCATGTCTCTTTTCCTTCTCATCACCCAGACTCCAGGACTCTTGGCTGCGCTCATCCTCGGGGGTTTCCCTCTTCTCATCCACGGATTTCAGGAGCGCCTCAATGTCTTTCACATCGGCTGCCTTTGTCTCTGTATCCTTGGGCTGAACTTTGACCACCTCCTCATGAGATATTATCCCATCCTCGCTCTTCTTGTCCAGTGGGGTGTGTTTAACCCCTGTGACAGAGCAAAAGAAACATCACGAGTGATGTATAGATACATTTCAAAATGCCCTTAGGGACACGTTATGATTGATTTGTCATTTAATTTCAGTGTAGATGAAATTGAGTATGAGTTTGAATCCCTTCTGTCATATAGGAGAAAATATTCTCTTGAAGGTAGAAGTGGCATGAAAACTGTGATCATAATAATCTCAATTACTCTTTTTTATGTAACCAACTGCTCTGCAAGATATTCAGCGTGACTGTATTTTCATCAGCTCCTCAGTGTGCACTGCATCAACAAACAGCCCTCTCCTAAAATGACCTATTTTAAAACTATGTAGGCTACATACAACAGCATTTTAATGTTCTATCCATAAGCAACATGGGAATTAAGAGTGGCCCGTGCGCTACAGACCTGCTTGGAGAATGTCTCTGCATTCCTGATCCAGCTGAGAGTCCGGTGTGGAGAGAGCTTTGGACAGGACTTCAACCAGGCATCGTGTAACCTGCAAGAAATCCAACAAACTCAACATGCAGCTCCAGGATTCACTTTATAATCATTGAATTCTATTAGACAAAACATACCACATCTTCTCTCTGACCCTCTTTCCCCACTGGAAGCGCTAGATTTTCTGCATTAGAGGAAAGACAAAGTATTTAAGGTGACATAACACAAACTGGGTTTGTCTGCATGCATTCAAATAACTGGAGTCGTCTCTGCCTCTGTCCGTGGTCCTGAACTGACTTCCACTAACTTCAACAGGGAAAAGCAACAGTGATCACCAACCTGCCCACAGAGCCGCCACCGCAACAACAAGAAGAAGCCTCATGTTGGGGCGAGGACGAGATCAGGGTAAATCCCACATGTGAAAAAAAAATCACAGTCGTGCCTTGGAGTCCCGTCTCTCCGCAGGAGAGAGCTGCGCTGCTCTGGAGCACCGGAGCAGAGGGGAGCGCCTCAAATAGGCGGAGGAGTGGGCTGGAGGAGCGTGGGAGGAAGCCTCCAGGCTCCTGGCTCCCTTTAGTGTCATGACTCATTAGACCTGCAAGAGAGAGAGAGAGAGTGAGTGGACTGGAATTGCGCACGACGTCGACATTTCGTGGCAGGCTCGTTAGAAATCCCGTTAGTGTCACGGTTCAGGTGATGTGGTTTTAAACTGGTTTTCATCTTGTGTTGCGGGTTAAATGCCTCAAGACGATTGAAAGCAAACCAGGAAGAATTGTTAGTCCTGCACAATGACTTTGCGTTTGAGAATGTTTCTTTATCGTTCATCAATTGTTGCCTTTTAATTTGCTTTTCTTACTGTTTTCCCCTGATCCTGCAAGTCCTTCTTCACCATGTATTAATTAGTCTATGTTTGTATAGTGCATGTCTATCTGGAATGGGCTGTTTTCTTGTTCGTGTTGATGCTCTGAAGCTACTTCAGAATTATTAGTGAGTTCTCCTCAAACAGTTCTAACATAAACTTTAACTTGTTATTGTTTGTGTGCTGGATGTGGTTCGCCGAGGTTTTAGAAACAGTTCATGGGGCAGAGAGAAGTTAGAAAACTTTGTGTTCATCCTACCTGGTTTATCTGCATACAAATACATTTATACAAATTCAACTGAAATTGCTTTCAAAATAAATGCTCTGTAATTTCGCTCGGTATAAAGTATCACATCAAGAAAACTAGCATTTTGCTTTTACTTTGAAGACATACTTGTAAAGAGGATGTGATTCTATGACTGTTGTTGCAATTATAACAATCAGAAATGGTGAAATAAAAATAATCAAATTATCAAAATGATTTTGACCTGTGGTTTGACCTAGTCACCAACCACTGGTGAAGTTTATCCAAGATTAAAGAAGATCACATGTTCAACTCAGTTTTCAGACAAGTGCCCCACCCCCGATGACTTTTTCTTAATATTTTACGTATTTGTGGCCACATTGCACCACACTGGACACTGCACTTCCTTTGGCAATTTACAATGCACATGCAGAGTGTGAAGTTGATAAATGGTATTTGAGATCATCTTTCTACTTGGGAACACAGTTTAGAGATCCAGCCATCTGACATCTGGGCAGAAGAGTTTTTCGTAATCAATCCTGCAACATTGATTTGTTTTACAATGTCATTTTATAGTTTTAAAAGTTTTAATGACATAACCTGATTTAATAACTTGAAATGATTCAAGTTATGTGGGAAGCCCTCTTTATTGCTGCTGCTGTTGGGTTGCATTAAATCAGTTCGCAGACATATTCATTTTATTCCTCTGTGACTAATTCACTCAAAATTAAATGCGTATTTACTCCTTTGTGTTTCAAAACAGGCATAACAATGTCTCCTGTTGAAGTTATGTAACAAGCCTTTTTGCCCTTCTTGTATGCTAGCTTAGATTAATAAATGTATGCTAATATGCAACATATTAAACAGAGTCAATGTCACAGCATATGCAGCTGAGGGGTGTGACCAACCCTGAGTCAGAATATAGCCCACTGACTCCTCAGTAATTAATTCAGAAAATATCTCATCATATTCCTTGTGACGGTTCCACCATTAGCTCAGTGTTAGTATCATTTTGTTACATTTCATTTGAGTAAAAACCTGACACATAGTTTGTTCACAGCTTTATTTTCTGAGTTGGGTGTATAAAATATTTACTTGACTTATTCTCTTTTCTTTTTAGTTTGCAAATAACACTTAGCCTCTGTTTGCTTCGAGCTTGCCTGGCAAAAGGCCAGAAGCCTGCAGGAAGTGACCTTTTTAGACCAGCCCACAGGAAGTGGAGGAGACCAAAGCATGATTGAAGAGTTAGTAGTTAGTATTTGTTTAAAGCTAATCTTGTTTGTTTGTGTATCTACTTATTTTGCTAGATTGTTTATGTTTGTATGTTGACCGTGTTTTTGGGTAGCTAATGTGGTATCTTGGATTAGCTTTCCCCTGTGTGCCTGTCTGGACTAGTCCACCTGGGTATGTATACCCCTGTGTATCATTTGTAAAGGAGGTCTGTTAGTTATGTTGAAAATATAGTTGTCTTATTGTTTAGTTGACCTCTTTCAGTTTGGGCCCTGATTTTGTAGTGTAATTTCTATTTTTGTAAATTGTATGGATTTAGTTGTTTGTTAGTTGAAAAAGAAAATGACGTGGATCAATAGTGGCTGTGGTCAACAGTCATGTGGCATGGACGTATTGGAGGAATGCAGTTTTTGTGCATATTTCCAGTTGCAGACCCAGTGATGCTCTGACCAGTGACTGAATATCTTTTTAAAAAAGCATTGCTGCAGAGAAACATAAAACAATTATGTTTGTATATCTGAAAGGACAGTGAGATTATCCTGACTTTCCATTTCTTCTATTTCTAATTGTGTGAAACTATGCTACGTCTGAATTGTAACTTAATCAGAGACTGCTGCTGTCTTCTTTGGATGAGCTGACATCTGCAGCGACAGAGCTCAAATGTAGAGGGCTCAGCTCAGCGTGGCTCAGAACATTCAAACTGACAACTACTGGCATCTTCTTTTTGGCACTTTGCTGGATATTTTTGATCTCTTGCTTTGTTCCTGCAGACACAAGATAAAAGTGATCAGTTTGATACCAGAAATATGAAGCAATACAGCATACATGCAGTTCTACAGATAAGATAAGATAAAACTATAGGTTTTTTATCAAATTTACAGAAGGAAAAAAGGGGCA